CCAAAAAAAAAAAAGGATAAAAAACAGGTTGGTCGGTCCCACCACTTGGAGTAGAGTAACTTAGGTTTCAAAAAAAAAAAAAAAATGTCAGGAAATGTGGGCAGAAGGACACCCAGTCCAAAACGTTGCGTTGAAAATACCTTTCGAGGCCTTTTGGCTAAGTAAGATCAAGTGTAGTATCTGTTCTGACCAATTTAATATCTGATCCTTAAAAAAAAAAAAAAAAAAAAAAAAAAGTTGCATTCAAAAAGAAGGGACTGTCAGGAATGTATGGCAGTGGCAGAGTAACGCTCGATGCAGAACGGGTCCAGAAAGTGGACTTGACTCTGCTGAGAATTAATTCTATCTGAAAGAAGTTGGTGGGCCCCACCACGTGGAGTGTGTAGGTTGAGCTTTAGGGTCTTGTTCCATGCGTCTGCGATTACAGTAGATTAATAGACTCGAAGAAAAAAAGAAGTCTTTTGCACCACGGCTGCCCTAATGTCGTTTTTTTCCCCTCGAATGTGAAAATGAGTGTAGGGCCAGTCCTGAAGATAGAAGGATGCCGCAGCCATTTTGTACCTTAAACCGCCAGTGCCGTTCTGAGCCAAAAAAAAAAAGTAGTGAGCGGGTTAACACGGAGACCGCGAACGGCCTCGCACCCCAGCCAGATGCATCCGGATTCCTTGGCGAGCAGGGCCTGCGGCGCATATATGGTCAAGGTACTGGCGGTTTAAGAGGTCCCTTGAGATTTGTAGGACTGAAAATGGTGAGTCCCCCACCCATATGCGGGTGTCATACCCCCAATTGCTGGAGCCCCCTCGTGCATATGCACCTTGTTTCTTTTTTTCCTGCCATATTTCATTTTATTTTATCCTATCCCTTAAGCAGCATTGACCGGGGGGGGGAGGTCTCTGAGGCACTGTGCGCCGGATTTTGGGTCGAGGTTCTGGTGAGGGCCAGCCAATGAAGGCGATCCAGGGCAGGGGAGTGTGACGAGGGGCGCACGTACCGAAATGTTCATAGGGCGCCATTAAACAAGAGAGCGCGCCCTGGGGGCAGAGCACACGGCAGGGATCGATGCGGGAGAAGATCTCGGAGGTGAGCCCTCCAATATGCGTGGGCGCCATTTGTTTTTCTTTTTTTTTTCCTTTTTTGTTTTTGCGCGTCGTCTTGTGTGGCCGGTGTTCTTTTTTTCTTTTTTTTCACATTTTCGCACGTCATTTTGTGTTCCCTTTTTTTTGGTACTTTTTTCGCACGGCATTTTTTTTTTAGTTGAGTCAATTCTCATATATTAATCATCCTTCAGCCTTAAATCTCAAATAAGAGAGGCCTCTGCTTTCCGTTGCGCCTTTGGCTCCACTCTGGCGATAGATCAGACGCGAAGCGTCTGCTCGAGTACAAATGCGGGTGCTGCCTCCAGCAAGCAGTTTCGGAGTTCGAGCGCCCACTTCGTTCGCTGGCCTTGAGTGTGCGACGGACTAACTCAAGTCCGTCGATTTAGACTCCTTCCCATCTGCTGATTCACTTAGTTAGGTACTACGAGCCCTCTGTCACACTCGACCTGAATGGTTCACCGGTTTCACCAAATGCTCTCATCCCGAAATGGGATGGTGGCTGTCATTTTGTGGCCCCCTTTCCCTTTTTTATTTTTTTTTTCATTTTTTTCGTTTTGTTCTTTTGTCTCTTTTTTTTTATCTTCTTTTTGTGTGAGTCTTGGTGAGTAGTGGAACCATGCCTTCCCCCCCCTCTCTTCCCCCCCCCTTTTTTTTTTTTGATAGATGCGGTGCGCTCTACACCATTCACACGTTTTGATTTGGGCCTTGCTCAAAAAAAAAAAAACAAAAAAAAAACAAAACAAAATGGCGGCGTATTTTCGTATTCTCTAGCGGAAGATTCAGGCCTCTGCCACACCACTCTCGAAATGTGCGAAAAGAGAATGAACTTCCCACTACAACATGGCCAGATGCACCCGCGACATGTCTTTTTCGCATTTCGTGTGGGGTATCTTTCCATGTTCTAGGGAAAGATTCAGTCTCATTTTGCAGATTTGGTGACCAGTGGGAGAGAGGTGCAAAGTCCAGACTTTGGACCTCACTCCCACTGCTCATGAGCAGTCGGTTCACTCTCTCTTTCACACACACACACGGAGACAGGTCGAAGTACGGCAAAGTTGTGTGTGTGTGTGTGTGTGTGTGAGAGAGAGAGAGAGAGAGAGCGACCAAGGTTCTGCCATCGCTATTGGCACGAACTGCGACAAGTGTCCGCTGTGTAGATATGGCGCGCCTGTATCAAAACAAAGGAAAAAAACAGGAATTTGAAAAAAAACAAAGCCTTCTGCACTATGTCAAGACGTGCATGCCATCCACGGAAGAGGTAGGTTGTCTTTGTCTCTCTGGTCTGTTCTCTCTCTCTTGCTCTTTCTCTTTGGGCCTCGCCACACCACTATCGAAACGAAAAGTGAACAAACGCATCTGCCGCAGAAAAGTCGTAAGATGCATCCGTCATTTTTCGTTTCGGCTGTGGTGTGGCGAGACCCTCTCTCTCTCTCTCTCTCTCTCTCTCTCTCTCTCTCTCTCTCTCTCTCTCTCTCTCTCTCTCTCTCTCTC